GAGTGGGAAGCATCTCAAGAAGCATGCGATATCTATTTTTCTTTAGTGTACTGTGTTTGAAAGAAGTAGTTGAGGAGACCCTAAAAATCGAATTTTTTAAATTATAAATTCACATTTAAATTTTGTGTAACTATTGCTGTATCACAATTCTATTTGTATTTAAAAATGATGAAATTAAAATGGGAGAATTATCTTGAATTTCTTTTAAAAAAAAAAATTGATTGGTACATTTGGGAGATTCAGAATGAAATAGAGTTATGGTTAGGATATAGTGTTAGTTTTCTACAATTTGGCGGGCTATCCATCGCCTTGGATATACTTATAAACAGGTATTAATAGTATAATATTTATTTATTTATTTTATAGTTATCAAAACCTGCGAAAGAGAGAAATGATATTGAAAGAGCTGATTACTTATTACGAATATCAGGATATACAGCTAATCAATTAGTATTGGCTGATGAATAAGCTTACGATAAGAGAAGTTTATCTAGAAAATATGGTTGGAATTATTAGAAATTGGGCAAAAAGAAACTTTTTTTGTTCGTGGTAAAAGGTTTATGATTGAAGAATCACTTTGTATTAATGGACTTTTAGCCTATGGAATTCAGGAAGGTCCAATGGATTCAAAAGATTTTGAATTTTTTATTGAAAATATATTGGTATTATTAGAAATTTTATATAATAATAATATTTACTTTATTATAACTAAAATTTATAATTTTATAGTTAATGCGTTTCCAGAATCTTATAGTGTTTTGATTTTAGATAATGCAGCGATACATAAATGACAACATATAATTAATCTTTGTGGGCAAAAAGACATTCGTCTTGAATTTCTACCTGCATATTCACCGGATTTTAATACTTTAATTTTAATTTCATTTAATTATTTATATAATATATAATTTAACAAAAATAAACAGTTATTTATTAAATTTATCTAGATCGAACAAACTTTTTTTATATTAAAAATTTTTTAAGAAAAATCGAATTTGGGTAGAGTCATTAGAAAGCATTGGATATAGCTTGTATGTCAATTGGAAGTGAATTAGCAAATGCATGTTTTAAACATGGTAGATATACTTATTAAAAATAAAATATTATTTTATTTTCATTCAATATTAAAATTTCAATAATTATAATGTGAATTAAAATGTTTATTATATTATTATTATACTATAAAAATTACTATATCAAAAAAAAACCCAATATTAATATAATGTGATCTGGTAAATATTCCAGTCCATCAGTATTCGTCGCTGTTGAAATTGATTATAGCATACTAATGGAATATAAACTATATATAGAAAATTATATAATATAAATTACCATATATATAAAAAAAAAATCATTTAAACATAATTCTTACCTAATAGATTCTTTCCTGATTCAAGTTTAAAATCATTTGAAAATTTTTCTGATGGTATCTTGCGGTAAAACATTTACAGCAGTTGAATTATTTAGTGGTGATTTGATTATTTTACTAGGAACATTTTCAAGTGACTTTTCTGTATGTATTCGCTTGTGCTAGTTATTTGGCTTTAAAAAAATTTAAGTTACTGTAAATATAATTTAAATTCAATAAAAATTTCAATAATATAAACAATATACTAATAATTACAAACTTCTTTTTAAATAATCATTTCTATTAATACAGTTGCGGCATATATTAACATTATTTTGTTGCCCGGAAATTTCAATTCTAGAAGAACCATTTTGATAAAGCCATTTTGTTTTTTCGATAAAGTTCTAAGAAGCTTATTTCTTTGTATTCATTATTTTTATTCCATTGGAGTTCTTTAGCGTCACATTTACAAGACCCTCCATATAACTCATTACATTCAATACAAATTAACATGCATTTAGACGATAAGTCAACTTCAAAGTTTTCGGCTGCCATTAAGAAAGAGTTACATTGCGTTCATTTAATATCGATATGATTTATGTTGCACAAAATCTAAATTTTTAGGTATAATATCCCGTTTATTTATGCAGTAATAATCCGAAATATTTATGTTATGTGATAAGATTATATTACTGTTATTTTTTTTTTTTCACTTACAACTGCTCATTTTATACATTTTTTTTTTTTCACTTACAACTGCTCATTTTATACATTTTTTTTTTTTAATAAAATTTATTTATTATTATTGAAAATGCTAATTTGGTATAAATAAGTAAAGACTACTAATACAATTGATCGATAAATGGTCATACAATTGGATTTAAGAATGAAAGTTGTATATAGTATAATAAAATAAAAAATAAAAAGTTTAAATGAGAAAAAAAATTAAGAACCTTCAAGTGAAAGTTAAGAATCTCAATTTCGCCTGAATTACCTTAATTCTGGCCGAGATTAAATGAACCTCCTTGTTGAGGTTGATAATCTCCACTTTGAACTGCCGTATTTTGTTGGAAAGTATTATCGTTATTATTCAAACTCGAATTAGAACCATCACCAATACTGTTGGATACCAAATTATCGGTAAGGAATTGTCTCAAGTGGAACTCGAGAGTTTCTTTATGTCTATTCGAAAACTCCAAGGGTTGTTTTTGCTGCTGTTCATTTTGTCTTAAACCAAGAATGTTAAAGTTTAAATATTGAACTATATTTGAATGTGAAATCATTTCACAAACAACTTTATAAATTTTTTGATCATTAGGATGTTGAAAATAAAATGTAAAAAGATTGTTTGAGCAAAGACGATCATTAGATGGGTATAAGTTATTAATTAATAATTGAGAAATGAGCTCATTTAAGGTTATTTCTTTATAAATAATAAGGTAAATTTGAACATCGTTGTTTGGCCTGTAATAGAATGACCATTCAGCTTCATGAGAAGGAGATTGAGTGTTTTGAGTATCTTGTAAAGATTGATTGTTGTTAATAACTGACATGTTATTTGAAGGCGAAGAGGGCGTATGATAAATAGTCTCACTAGGAGTATTAGCGGATTCTTGAGGATTGTGTGTAGACATTAAATGAAATGCTATTTGCTACTTTAAAGTATAAAAGTATACACGTATTTACACAACAATGAAATGGAAAGACAAAAAAAAATGATATTTTATTGCGCAGTGAGATATCGATTTTTTATTTAAAATAAATGAAGTAAAATGGGGAAGATAGTTTTAAGAAAACGATTTAATGATTTTGTTATTAAATATTGGAACGAGTTAAACGTGCTTTATATATTTAGTTAAATATATTATTATTATTATTACTTTTTTTTGTTAGATAGAGTTTTTTAATTAGGAATTTTTCATTTTAAAAAAACAGAACCTACCAACTCAACCTTTTTATAAGTTTGAGAACTGTTGAAGATTTTGATTTTTCATATTTGTGTATTTGTGATAAAAAGAATATGTATATCTTTACAGAACATGTTGAAATGTAAACAATAGTTCGAACCTGTGTTAACTATTTTAACTATTTATGGATCAGGCATTTTAAAAAAAAAAATTACTACTATTTAAAGTATTAAAGGAAAAAATTTTTTTCTCTCTTTTTTTTTTTTTTATATTATTAAATTTGATGTAGGTATGTAAAAAAAAAAAAAAAAACTTTTTTTTATACAGTGTGTTTAGTATCTCTGTTTAAAAAAAGGTTAAATAGTTGAGGTTACATATACAAAGCCAAAAGGCCTTAACTTAGTATATTACTTGGGATACAGCTGAAATTCTTTAACCGGAAACTTGTTACACATATTAACAAAAAGGATTTATATTCTTGGTACAATATTGGTCATTCAAACATAGCGGGCTTTCATTGTGATTGGCCAATCTTTGCAGATCATTTTTACTATTGCTGAAATTCTATTGGCTGTTAAATCACGTGATTTCACATTAATCAAATCGAAAATTAATCAATCAAAAAAAAAATATAAAAAAAAAATAGTTAATCAAAAAATAGTTAATATGATATTTAGCCCAAATGAGAAAGATATTTAATAAAGAGAATTTTATAAAATTGAATTTTTATTATTCATTTATAAAAATACATTGAACTATTGAACTAAAATTTTATTTATATATTTTTGCTTATACTTCATATATAATACATAATAATATTTCCCAAATTATGCATTTGTTAAAGTATTCATAGCCTCTTTGAAAAGTAGATCTATATTATTATCTAATAAAAGATCTTTGCTACCAATATTAGTATCATCTATTGGTTTAGTAATATCTAACTCATTTCTACTCTCATCCATGGCCAACATGTTAAATGAAGTCAGAGTCTTCTGATAATTCTGACAATTTTTTTCAATTATCCTTACAAGATAATCAGTGCAATATCAGTATTGACTTCCTAATTTAAATAAATAACACTCAAAATGATAAGCATGTTCACAAATTAAAATACAACCTACCTCATATGAATTTACATAACCTTTCAAGTCACAATACCTATCTTCTTGGGAAAGATATGTCATATTCTAAGCTATTACCAATATTTTAATATTAATTTTAGCTACAAAAGTTAGGAATTCGTATACTTTTAGTTCTGAATGTGTATTAGATGAAACAACTCTTGATTTGCTAAGATTCTGATAGACACTTGTAAAAAATTTAAAAGGAAAAGCGCAGTCCATTTTTCAAGATATTCTAGCTGTTTTACTAAATATCTGATATTTTGATCCTCAGAAAATACGTCTGTGAAAGAGTTGCTATCACGCATCTGATCGATTACTCATACCTATTGAATAATTTGTTTCACTGTATTTGATTTCTATATTTGTCGTCAAAGTGAACTATAAAAATTCTCCACATAATAATCATTAAAAATATGAAGAAAATCTGAAAGGACTTGTAAAATAGAATGACAAGTAGAATATATTACTTAAAAATACTAATGGCAATTTGTTGTAGTGTTTACTATATATGAAGTCGAAATGGATCATTTCGGATATCCGAAATGGTCGAAATAGTCGAAATCATTTTTTTTTTTTTTTTTTTTTTTTTTTGATACTTTTACTAGGCACGCACAAGTGGTATTATATTTGGATGCATACCCT